TTAGATAAATACAGTGTGAGCGAGGGGGCAGGATGAGGCCACAGCAGAACTGTATATCCTGGACGCTAATGCTGTGTGTCTCCCACCATAGGGTTTTCTTAATTACATTAACCAAATGCGTTCTGCAGTGTGTGCAATCTCATGGTTAGCTGAACACCCCTGTAGCTGCAGCACCATTCCCACCACCCCCACTTCCTTTATTCCTCAGTGAAATATTCATGTTGAAAGCCACTCTTCCCATCTACTTCCAACATGTTAATGCCTGCAGTTGTTCAGCCGTGCTACCATTGTTTTTAAGATAGGGATATAAACTTCACCCTATAGGTCACACCTTTAAAAAAAAAACTGCTATTGTCTCATTTAAAGTGAACTAAATGGTCTTAATCCTGGTGAGCCACAGCTGAAGCAAACCTATCATATAATTTACAGCTTCAAGGATGTATTTCTAACATTATTATGTCGTTTATTTCAACACGGCTCACATTTTCGGCGCAACTTTCCATAGATTTATACGCTTTCGGTGCATTTTTAGGTTGCATCTCACTAGAACAAACACATTTGTATTTCTTCATGTCTCCACAACACACTGATTCAAATTGACCAGGCAGGACTAATTTAAATACATTAACTATTCATTAATTGAATAAAGAGGCTAGTTAGCCCCAGGGCCTCTTTATAATCATAAACTGGGGTGTACTATTTATGCAAAACAGCAAAGTGCCATGTGCTGGCTTATTATGCTAATGATGAATGGCAAAATACATGTTTCTTCTGCCCACGAAGGAGGATTAGGCATGGCAGTGTCAGCAAGTAGTTTCCAGGGTACAGAGTCTGCTGCTCCGTATTACAGCATGTTGAGATGCAGCCCGGTAATGTGATTCTTCCGGTCTTCTCCGTGTGGATACGATTGCAGCCCCTCCCCCTAACTTTCTCAAAACATTAAGCTGCAACTAGGATTTAACAAAACCGGACCACCTTCACACCTTCACTTTTTTTTTTCCCCCCACCAAGTTAGAATATGTTGGAGAAAACTTTTTACTTACTACAGCGGAAGCACTACAATCTGTCAATACTGTTCACAATCCACATCCAACACTCCCGGTTTTATGAGCTAAAGGTTCCATAAAACTCCACCAAAACTTCTAATTTTTTAGCATTTTTGTGAGGTAACATGAGCCTGAGGTCTAAACTAAACACTGAGTAACTAAAACCAGGAAAACTTAATATCAGAATGCCTCTGACCAAGCCAACTGTATTTATTAATGTTGATTGGTCATATTGGGGCTGCACGGTGGCTCAGTGGTTAGGGTCGCCTCACACCTAGAAGATCCCTGGTTCACGACACCCAGGATCTTTCTGCGTGGAGTTTGCATGTTCTCCCCGTGCAGCGTGGGTTCTCTCCGGGTTCTCCGGCTTCCTCTCAAAAACATGTTGAGGTTAATTGGTGATTCTAAATTGTCCATAGGTGTGAATGTGAGTGTGCTTGGTTGTCTGTCTCTAAGTGTAGCCCTGTGTTAGACTGGTTACCTGTCCAGGGTGTCCCCTGCCTTCACCCTGGATGGTCATATTCGGGCCAATAATCAAACCACTAAAATCAGAACTGATGACGGTATTGGTACAGCACACTGGAACGGTGCATTTCTAATACCAACATGGGGAAACGTTTCTTTAGGTTATGTGGTGCCATGAATTGAAAAACATAAGTACATGCCACAGTTTTAAAAAGTAGTCGTCAAACTGGAAGTTTATCATCCTAGCTATGAGTTGTGTGTGATTTCTTCAGCTCTTTGACTATTTTTGATTTGACTTTTAGCAGCTATTTAGCAAACATTAAGCATTTTTCCCCCCGAACATGACTTCTCTCAGTCACCTGGACTCCTACACCTTCAATCTCTTTATTTCGAAGACCACAGTAGAAATAAATCTTATTGTGTCATTCCTGACATTTAGCCTCGAAAGGGATTGAACACAAATTAGTGACGTGAGAAGGGTTGCTAGATCTTTATACTCTGACCGTCTCAACCATTACAAGGCAGGTATTTTGGACTCAGAAATACTGCAATGCCATAATTTAATCTTCAAGATACTCTATTTCCGGAGGACATCTGCTAAACAAATGTTAGTGTTGTCACTAAATGAATGGATGGAGCACTAGGCACTGATCTGATAAATGTTGCAGCTTTACATGCAGGGTGACTCAAGTCACGTGCAAAATGCCATCATTTTGTTTAAACTGATTATTAGTGATGATAAATTTCACAAAGGAAAATTTAAATAATACAAAAATGGAACATAACCATTTAAAAACACGAATCTACTAAAAAAACACAGACTATCATTCCTGCAAGAAAAACACTCATATAAAACCCTTCCACGTTTCTGAATCCGTTTCCCTGCTGATGCTGTTCCTGCCCAAAACAAAACACAGTGCAGCTCAGCAACGTCTATGGAACCAACTAACTCCACACCTCAAAACATTCAGCAGCTATCATCCTGCATCAAAGCCAATCATCTGTTCACTTTCAGGCAGTAAAGTGATGAAATTGCCTTTTTTCTGCAACCAAATATATTTGCTTTGTTGCGAGGTTCTGAGAGCAGAACAGTGTCTGGATTAAAGAAAACTACATGTATGCTATCCAGGTGTCACCAGGTGCTTCCTCAAAGGGAATCACTGGGTTTCTCTGACTTACACTGTGAGGCCAATTGATTGCTCTGAGATGATCGTTCATTCTTTTGTTTTAACATCTTTTAGTGATGCAAATTTGCAATTTTAATCTCTTATCTCAAACGGAAAGCACTTCCAGTCAACTTCTTTTGCTTTCAATATGTTATATAAAAAAGCAAGCAGGCAGGTTTATTTTTCGAGCATCATGTCGCACTTGGAAGTTGATATTAAGTAAATATTAAGAAGTTATTTGATGGTAAAATACAAAGAACAGCAGAATAAAAATGCAATTATTTAAATTAAATTAATCCAAAACAGTACAACACAAGTGAAACAAAGTGCACACACATACAAATTGACAGACTAAGAGATTTAAAAAGAAAAAAGATAAGAAAAATAAAACTATGTAAAGGATAAAGTATATCATAAAACTGCTTTTTTGACTTTTTTGGGGGGGAAAACTGAAATAAAATTTGAATAAAAGAGCAGGCACGTTTTAAAAAGTACAACTAGACTAGAAAAAAATTAATCTAATCAATTAAAGGAAGTAAAAGAAGGAACTGTCAATAGTTTACTTTTTATAAATACGGCTGCATTCAGGCCGGTCTAAATTCCGAGAGGAGCTGGTTCCAGCAGTGGGCAGCATAAGAACTAAATGTTTCACAGCATCTGATCTGAACTCTGGACGCCACCAACTAACCGGTCCCTGTACATCTGAGAGAGACGTCCCAGCCTTCAGTAAACGTATCTCTGATGTATTTTGAGGCCAGATCATTCAGAGACGTAAAAACAATAAGAAGGACACAAAATTCAATTCTGTATTTAACAGGAAGTCAGTGATATATAGAGACGTGCTCTCTCTTCTTGTCAGTATTCTAGCAGCTGCATTTTGAATGAGTTGCAAATGTGTAATGATCTCATTAGGGAGGCCAGTAAAGAGCCTGGTTTAGTGCTCTACAGGTAATAAAAAAGCACAAATGGGTTTCTCTAAATCTTGCTTGGGCATAAAGCGTCTCAGTTTGTTTTTAAGATGCCAGAATGATTGTTTAGTCACAGCTTTGGTGCAGCTGCGGAAATTTAGATCTACGATTACACCAAGATTCTTCACCTGGATTTTCAGTCACCTGGTCTCAAGATAAGCACCAGCTTTTCTTTTCTATTGCCAAATACAACTATTCCAGTCTTTATTTAAAGTTTTTGTTTCATCCAATATTTTTTACTTCCTCAAGACAAAGACAAAACCTACAACCATACAGTTTACTTGAGGAGGAAACTGATGCACATTTTCCCACAATTTTCTGATATTTTAGAAACCAAACAACTGATAGATTCATCCAGAAAATAATCGACAGCAAAAAACAGTTTCTTAGAGTTTGAGAATGAACCATCATCAAACCAAACTCCATTCAAAAAAGCTCCAATTTTAATCCAGACAGAGAAGATTTATGAATGAGTCCTGATTTTTTGCTCTGATTTGGTCGCCTCCAGCTGATTTTAGAATCTGGATGAATTTCTGTCAGATTGGTTCTCATGTTTTTTCATTTTTTTCCTTGGATCTATAGTGTATTTAATGTGTGTGTAGCTCTATTGTATTGCATTTCTCAGCTCTTCCTATTTATACTTTATTTGTTCCTGTCACTTTTTGTGCTCTTTCCTGTATCTATACTGCTGCAGCAAGTGAGTTTCCCCATTGGTGATGAAAAACAAAGTGCAATCTAATCTATTGTAGTATATTATTCAACTATATGCTCAGTGTTCTCTTCATTTAGTCCAAAATGGTTCATGACTATCACAAAGGAACCACAGTGACTGAACATGTGCACAGGAGAACCTTTTCCTGGGAATCCTGTTTTATTGGTCCCACGTAGACTTTAAACTACAGCAGAGGCATATTTGTGGGTGAAGAAGTGAATGCTTTGGGCACCGGGGGGGCTCGGATCCCTCGTCCATCCACATACCTGTACACAGCCTCTTTGTCGTCGCATGTTGACACGAGCAGGAGCACGATTATGAAACTGAAACAATTTCTTACAAGCCGCACTTTTCCCTCCAGTTCTCTCTGTTCCCACACTGACCCACGCTGACTCCACGGTGGGCTCAGCTTGCAACGTGGCGCCTGAATCCCTCTCCCGTTACCGACGTGCTGCGGACCAATGGCGGGGATCGTGTCACTGGAGGAGGCGGGGCCCGGCATGAAACGGACGCTCTGATTGGCTGTACGTAAGGCGGCAGGAAATCCCGGTTTGGTTGCGTCCCTTTCTCAGGAAAGGGGGACAGGATTCCCAAAAAAACCGTGTCAGTGAGGACCGTTGGTGCTGTAAGTGGACCTGTCTGCAGGCGCAGGTGCTCTTCGCAGGTTTTTGCTGGTCGGACGCTGCTGCGGCGTATTTTGCGCGCCGCCGCTGGAGAGAAGAAGGAGGAAGGTCAGTGAGCAGCGGGCCGAGCGGAGAGCAGACGCACAGCAGCTCGCTCATTGTGCATCGTGTTGTCATCAGGCCTGTTTAGGAACAGTTGTTGTGGCCTCAGAGAGCTCAGCTTCAGCTCCAGACTGATGGCCGGCTTCAGCTTCGTGTGCGCTCTGCTGCTGTGCGCCGCTGCGGTGCATTCAAAGCCCACGCTAAGAAAAGAGAGAGTTATTCATGACCCAGAGCTAGCCAGGCAAGCCCACGAAGACAATAAGAGCTACCAATACGACCATGAGGCCTTTCTGGGCAAAGACGAGGCCAAAACATTTGACCAGCTCAGCCCCGAGGAGAGCAAAGACAGGCTTAGGTAAGAAACACTGTATTCACTCTGACACACAGATTGGAGCCACTGACTGTCTTGTGTTTTTTGTGTGTGTTTTTTGTGTAAATCACGCACTCTCTCCTCTGTTGCGTGTAACAGTTCAGGCTGTGGACATTAAAAATGTAACAACATGAGCACATGTGCCTGAGAAAGATGTGCATGCCAGCAAATCTGTAAGACCAGATAAAACGGTGCGTCGACACTGTTCGCACACACACGCCTGTGGAGTTAATTGCTTTGATCTTAATTGTAAATCGTCATTAAAGAATAATCTGGACGTGTTTGAGTGAAGTTGTGTCTCCATATAGTGCTTCTGTTGTGTCACAAACTGCTGCGTAAAATGTGCCACGTGGGTCTGTTTGTGCGTAAAAGGGTGTTTCTTTCCCCCCCCTCCCTTGGCCTCTGCTTTGGTGACAAGTTGGCATCTTCTGACCCACGTTGGTTATTAAAAACTCCTTCCTGTGGTGCTGAGAGTGGGAGGACCCCTGTAACATCACAACGTGGCAACCCACGTCTAAGAATACACCACAGCTACACTCCACTTTCTACTAAATTGCTTGCTCCTCCTGCTGGAGTAATCTTTTTGGAGCCACGTCCCTTGTAGTAAAAAAAAATGCTGGGGCCAAATATTTTCTTTAAAGTAGCTCCATGGTTTGACAACTTACTAGTGGGTTGGAGGTGAAACTTCACTCAGCCTGTCAGGTCTCCGTAAACACATTACAACATCACTTATATCTCTGTCTTTTTCATTGTCTCGCAGTAAAATCGTGGACCGGATAGACAGCAACACGGACGGCTACATCTCCACCGCAGAGCTCAAGACTTGGATAAAGCGTGTCCAGAAGCGCTACGTGTACGAGAACGTCGCAAAGGTGTGGACAGACTACGACCTGAACAAAGACAACAAGATTTCATGGGACGAGTACAAGCAGGCCACATACGGATACTACCTCGGTACGTGTTTTTTTTTCTTTTTTGAAGCACACTAATAAAAGTATGACAAAGCTGCATTTAAGCCTGACAGTAACCTGATTGTAATTCGCCTCTCTCAGCCAACCCGGAGGAGTTCGAGGATGCCACAGACCAGTTCAGCTTCAAGAAGATGCTTCCTCGTGATGAGAGAAGGTTTCAAACAGCTGATCTGAACGGGGACTTGGCAGCAGACAGAGAAGAGTTCACAGCCTTCCTCCACCCTGAGGAGTTTGAGCACATGAAGGATATAGTGGTTTTGGTAAGCCCTCTATAACAACATAAGTGTGATCCGTTGCAAAGCTAGTGAATACGCTGTCACACGAGGAGAAGATGACATTTGTCTAATAAGAAATATCATTTAATTACAAGAACAGACTTGAGTTTCTCTTCCACATGTTTAATCTCTTCACTCAAACCAATGTGCTACATTCGGGTAACTCCCTGATGAAATTTTAACTCGGCCCAGAAATGATTGAGTTTCTATATTTTTTGGAACAGGTCCAGTGGGACGGACCGACTGTCCCATTTAGGACTCGATCTTTAAATATAAATTTGGCTTCGTGGAACATTGGCGTGGCAACTGTTAGCAGTGATGCACTATGCTGCTGTGTTCATAAAAGTTGTACCACCCATTTGACAGAGTTAATTATTAATCTCTTATTTTTATGATGTCACCCAACGTTACCGAGGAACGCTTCAGTCGGCGGCGTCTTCACTGATTGTGGGTGAATCTGGCTGAAACTAACACAATAGTCGCAGACTCCTCGAAGCCGTTTTGTCTTCTGCGTATGATTTGTTCGCTCAGGTTGCGAAAAGAGCTCCTGGATGTTGTCACAGGAGAAACGTGAGATGGAGACACTTTGTCTTCAGAAAGGACACGACTGTGGGCTGCTGGGACGGATAACTAATGGAGCTTGTTGTGCAGTTTCAGGCAGGAACCTGAAGTGATCTTTCTAAGTGTCAAGTGTACACTTAGACTCTCATTCACATAAGAGAGCGCTCTGTTCAAATGTCCGGCTTCACATTTCTGCCCGCTGATGTCAGCCTGCTGTCTGCTCTCAGGAGCCAGAGATCTCTGAGTAAACTGGAAAAACACAGACCACCTCTCCAACAAGTTGACTTCCTTCAACGTGTCTTAGGTGTCAGATCTGGAACAGTGTATGAAGGGAGCACAAATATCACATAATACAGACAGAACATTGATTTTATTGTTTTATACACAATTGAAGTTTAAAATTATGATTTTTTTTGGATTTGTTTTCACTCTCTAAGGGCAGTTCAGCAACACCAGCTTTCTTTAACCACCTCAGTGTTTTCAGATTTACAGACTGCAACAGCATATTTATTAAAGTATGCATCCTGTAATGTCTTTAATGGTTGCATTTACACTGTCCCAGAAAGACTTTAGTGCAACTCAAGAAAACACGAGGGTGGTTTGCCTCCAGGTCACCACAGAACCTCGGACGTAGTTTAGTTAAGTGTCTGCAGAAATCTCTCACTGCTCCTGAACTTGTGGTAATACATTGTGTGTGCATTGTAAACCACTCCTAATCCATCCGTCCATTATCTATACACCGCTTAATCCTCACGAGGGTCGCGGGGGGCCGGAGCCTATCCCAGCTGAGACAGACACTTAGAGACAGACAACCAAGCACACTCACATTCACAATCATCAATTAACCTCAACATGTTTTTGGACCTTGTGGGAGGAAGCCGGAGAACCCAGAGAGAACCCACGCTGCATGGAGAGAACATGCAAACTCCACGCAGAAAGATCCCGGATGTCTTCACTGGGATGCAAACCGGCGACCTTCTAGCTGCGAGGCAAAGGTGCTAACCACCGAGCTACCTCACAGCCCCCCTACTCCTAATCAAAACCAAAAACTGTCATATCTGCAACAAGACTAAATGTAGGTCGGCTAGATATTCAAAACAATGCAATAATAGATTGGTTGACTGGAAGAGAATTAATGAAATAAGTCATTTTTAAAGCGAAAGGTTCAAATTTCAGTCTAATATATATGCAGCCTTATTTAGTTTATCATCTAATTCTATAGGGCTGCAAGGTGGCTCAGTGGTTAGCACCGTTGCCTCACAGCTAGAAGTTCGCCGGTTCGCGTCCCGGTGATGACACCCAGGATCTTTCTGGGTGGAGTTTGCATGTTCTCCCCGTGCAGCGTGGATTCTCTCTGGGTTCTCCTACTTCCTCCCAAAAACATGTTGACCCTGATTCTAAATTGTCCGTAGGTGTGAGTGTGCTTGGTTGTCTGTCTCTAAGTGTAGCCCTGTGATAGACTGGTTACCTGTCCAGGGTGTCCTCTGCCTTCACCCTGAGTCAGCTGGGATAGACTCCAGTCCCCCACGACCCTAGTGAGGATTAAGTGGTGTATAGATGATGGATGGATCTAATTCTATTCTGCAATATTTACTGAATGAATCACTGTGATCGTGAGTTCCCGCTAAACTTAAAGCGATATGTGACCCTGGGTGGACCACTGTGATTGTATTGTGCCACTCACATGCTTATAGAAGCTACAGAACCTCTCACCGGTTGTCCGTGTTTACAGAGACGTACAAAAGTCTCTGACTGTTTACACGCGACCCTGCACAGGTTAAGTGGAGACATGAAATGGATGGATAGATTTTTCTTGTTTATTATTAGTGAGCTATTAGACTGCAGGAGCGGCCATTAATCATTCAGCAGGGTTCAGAGAGGGCGTCTCACCTGCAGGAACGGTGGTATGGATGTATGTAGCGTGCCGGTGTTATGCCCAGATGCATTGCCATTTCCGTGCATGTGCGATTGTTCGCTAACGATCAGCTCAAGTTGCAAACGTCTAAGTAACCACTTAGTCCAACTCGCCGTGAGAGAGAAAACCACCTATTAGCTCTTCAGAACGTAGTGTTTCCCCACAATTGTTTGCTTAAAAATTGTAAATCTTCTTTTAATACAGAGGGTTTGGCTCTTTGTCAGCAATCCTGTAATTGCAGTGACAGTCTGCCAGCCCAGCTGTAAACTCACACTCATGCGTTCACTCATACAGCCTGGGGCAGCATGTTTCTCTTTTATTACTCAGAGCGAAAGTTCTGCCAGAGATGACCCTTGTGTCTCCCTTTAATGACATCATTAACTCGTTCTGAACGCAGGAAACTCTGGAGGACATCGACAAGAACGGCGACGGACACGTGGACGAGGACGAGTATATCGGTGAGTTCAAGCAAAGAAATAAAAGAAGTTAAATTAATTAGCGAGTGCTGGAAAAAAGGCGACGGCGGCTTCAAAGGCGTCTGCGAGCTTAGCTACATGCTGCTGTTCTAAGAAACAAAACCAATCAGTGACACTTGGTAGCAAAAACTGACAAATAGGAATGTGAAACTGGCGCATCAGGTGGACTTTCAACAATTTGCAGTTATCCAGAGCTTCACGGGAAAATGACTAAAAGGGGAAACGTTAAAAGAAGTTTTAGTTCTGGGAAGGTGATTCACACACAACCGGTGCAGGCACTTCACTTTTTCAAATGGGAACAAATACGAGTGTGTCCTTGTTGTGGTGGCACCGTTGTGACAGAGTTCTTTAATTAATAACGACAAATGTGTTGTTATTGTGGAAGATTTCTCCGATAAGGACACTGAAACAGCTACGCTATAAAAATACACGCACATGGTTCTCATCAGTTGCGACTGTTGGTCCAAACTACTAACAACAGCTTTTAAGGGATTAAAGCACCAAGATCGTTTTCCTGATTCAGTCTATGGTTCAGTGTTTAATGTGTTCAACAGAAGGGCTGTTGTTGCCTAGTGACTGGTGTCTCTTTTAAGCTGTTCGATCTTGTCCCAAGCAAGCTTTGGAAATTACTAACTGCAAAAATGGCGACGGCAAGCCGTGTTGTTACACGACACAGTAAAGTACAGTCGTGTGCCGTTAGCATAGCTGTTGATTCACACATTCTTTAGTTTACACTCACTTTGAAGACATGTTTGGGCTTTTGCATTTGAGGTGACTGGTTTTTGGATGTTCTGTGAAAAAGTCTGTGTTTCTTGGTGGCTTTAAAAAACTTGTATGTGAAATATGAGTTGACCTTGGCCTGTCACAATTTAATATGTAATAATCTTGCAATTAACCGAGCAGACCATGAGTGCTTTTCATAATTATAAGAACTGATTTCATAAAAACTGCATAAAACTGGATGAACCAACAGACTGTTATTTTAATCACTATTTCCATGTCTTTTTTCCCCCCCTCACTGTCATCACCTTCTTCTGCTGTTGTTTAATGACAAGCGTTCATCTACCTCTGATATCCAACCTCTTGCACTTCTATGAGCATCTATTGACATTAACATCATGGGTTGAGTGACAAAGTCAAACTCCACAAAACCTCTGTGGCCCCATTTTGGTTCAAGCCACATTAAAAAAAAGAGTTTGATAACTTGGAAGAGTAAAAGGAACAGAAAAAAAACATCATTAATCAAATAGTTTGAATGACTGGTAGCAAACGGTTACAGTTTGGGGATTGTGACAGCGCTAACTTCGGGTGTTAATGGTCTTTAAACTACAGCCGTTAACTTGAAACTGTAAAATCTCTACTTTAATTGCTCATTTCTTCTGCTTGTAGCCGACATGTTTGCTCACGAGGATGGAGGTCCAGAACCAGACTGGGTCAAAACGGAGAGGGAACAATTCTCTGACTTCCGAGATTTGAACAAAGACGGAAAGATGGACACGGATGAAATCCGGCACTGGATTATGCCACAAGACTACGACCACGCCCAGGCCGAGGCCAGACATCTGGTGTACGAGTCGGACCAGGACAAGGTACGCTGTTTCACCTGCACCCACACGATTTAAGATCTGCTCCCTGTCACCTTGTGTGTGTGACGTCTTGGACAAAATGCTTTTTCTATGGTTACTCTTTTCAGCTTACACTAGAATTCTTTACTTCTTATTGTCTTTTGCCATTTGTCTGTTTATTTATTTATCCAAGGTGAATAGATAAGTGTCTTCATCGTCTGAAGATGCTGTTTTCTACTTCAGTGGTTTGCAAAAAGTCTTTTTTTTTCTTCTTTTTTTTTGCAACCACTGCCTCAGTGGAAAGCCTCAAAGAATGTAATTAAATAGGTGTAAATAAAACCATCGTCATTTTTCGTTCATATCTTGCAACTCTCCTCTCTCCTCTTATCAGGATCAGATGCTGACCAAAGACGAGATCCTTGAGAACTGGAACATGTTTGTGGGAAGCCAGGCCACCAACTACGGCGAGGACCTCACCAGGAACCACGACGAGCTCTGAGCTCTCGGTGCCGCTTCATCTGTGCATCTTTGTGTGTGTGAGGAAGGTCGCTGAACATCTTTGTCCTCAAAGACAGAATCGCAGACTCTTGCCCTTCTCCCCCCCCCCCCCACCCCCACCCCCAACACTACCACCACTCCATCCTTTTCCTCGTAATAGCGGGACAGATGTCGGCGTGTTGGATTTCAAACCAACACCGTAGATACCAAATGAGAGGACAGATAAGGGTCAGTGCTGCCACTAACTCTAAGGGTCTGCTTCAGTCTTCAAATCCATGGTTGCGTTTCTGACATTCAGGAGCAAAGCCAGACCCGGTGGACTCAACTTTCCATCTAAGGTGCCTTCCAGTCGCGTCTGCGGCTTCACTGCCTCAGAGATTTGTGTAGATAGTCTTTATTAAAACCTGTCAAAGCTGAATGCTGTCAGATGCGGGAAAAGTTTTAATGTGAAACCACAGCTCAGAACATTTCTTGTGATTTTATTTATTTATCGGATATCTTCTGAACTTTAGGTTCCAGAGGAGTACAGTGTTTGACTAGAGATCTTTTTTTTTTTTAAATGAAAATACACAGATGATGTTACCTTGTTTACAGTCTTCCTTGGCCTATTGATTTTAATGATTTTTATTAGTTAAGTGCTTTAAGAACTGTTTATTAACTGATGTTTAATGGCATGGTTTTTGCACGCGTTTGGTTTTTAGTGTAGCCTGTGAAAAACTTATTTTGTCTCCATACTTAGTTTTAAATGTATTTATTGGTGTACTTAAGGCCAACAATATGCTTCATGTTACAGTTTTTACCTTTTGCTGATGTTCCATTTGAGCGTTACCAGTTTACAGCTGTCTAATTTAATTCACTTGACTCCTTGCTACCTTTTCTATCACTCCAGGGCCACCTTCTGTATCGGACGTACTGAACTGCACTTGGCGTTGTACATAGCAGCGAGATGTTTTTTTCAGCATCAGAAATGTGTCTTTTTGTTACTCGTTTTGCTAAATGGATCGAACAGATCCACAGAACAATGCAGCTTATAAAGAGAACAAACTTTAAGTAGATTTTGAGGGTCTTGTAACTTTAATCATCGTTATTCCAAACCCCCCCTTTTTTCCCTGTTTTCATCTTTGTTGTGCCTGCGTCAGTGGCCCAAACCTCAGCTGCATAGCCTGCATACCACATGGGCACAAACATATTTACGAACCGCACATGATCCCAAGTTGTGTCCCAATAAAAAAGAAAGAAGAAACTGTTGTGTGTTTTATGGGTTAATCTGAGATGAAATCTAATTGTGTTACAGGAGCTATTGTCCTTTTATGAAAGCTGTTGCTGTTCAGAGTGACACAGGATGAGACCAGCTTAAGTTTAAAGGGATAGTTCAACATTTTGGGGGAGTTTTAATCCCACTTTTTCCCCTTTCTTGCCGTGTTTCATCGCTGCCAAACTTGAGAATTCTTAACTTATGACACAATGTTGTGTTTAAGATCTTGCCATCATTGCTTCAATTTCCCTAAAAGGAAATACTGGACTGATGGACTCTCTTGTGCCAAATAATTCAAGTGCTATTCGGTAAACACCAAGCTACTGCCAGCGGCTGGTTAGCCGAGCCGATCGCTGGAAAACTGGCTCCAGTTCTGTGCAAAGGTTTCTTCTTGCAGCGTCGACTGTTGCGTGCGACGACAACACTCTAACAAGTAACTGCGCCTGACCAGGATATAGTCTGACACGACCCATTGTTATAACGCAACTTGTCATTTTCACACTTCTGTTTGTGTAGGAGTTAAACAAAGAAGGTTTAATGTGTTCATCACCGGCTGGCTGTTTCCTCATTTCCAGTCTTTGTTCTGAGCTGCGCTGGTGGCCGTAGGTCCATCTTTGCTGCACAAACACAAGCTTCTAACGAGGCAAGAAACCCCTCAACTAATTCCTGTAATTCCATTTATCTCATACCTCCCTACTATGCAGCCTTAAATGCATCTTTGTGTTACAATTTACCAATTTTCACTCTTTGCTGTTTCCAAATCTGACAGGAACATCACATTATCTAAATACACATCATGAGAAATGGTTTAAACACTGGTTGTCTCCTGTTCGGCTAAAGCGGTGTCCTACTTTCCTCGTTTCCGAGCAATTACAGCACACTATCTCAGGTGAACACTTGTCTGTTCACTCAGTCTGCAGCCGTTGGACTCCAGCCTACAACACATAATACCTTGAACACCCTTTCAGTTTTTCAGACTGGGCTCACTAGTTCCCTCCTAAGTTCCTGCTGTTCTTGCTTATTCTGCTCACTGGTAAAGAACAGTTGTGTTTTTTTTTAAATAGCAGACTTTTTCCTTATCATCCTAACATTTGTTAAGAGCCTCAGTGCATGTACTGTATATATATATATATGTATATGCGTGCTGCATGTGGTTGCAGCTTCACATGGGCACACTGCAGGCAACTAATGGTACAGGCCATTCAAATATTCAAGTCTGCGTTTGACTTTGGATTCAGTGAACATCAGGAACAAGCGGATGCTGTTAACACTTCTCATGACTAATTGCAGTCTACACTCACACAGCAGAGATGGAGTTAAGCTGACTTGCCGTTGCTGCTGGCTGTTGCAGTAAAACTCTCAGATGTAACTGAGAAAGCAGCTCTGCCACCCAGCCTGTCCCCTCTGCCTGCTCATGTGGAACATATGGATATATGTGTGCCAGTTAGCAAGACAAGTCAAGCGGGACCAATGCGATAAAGCTCATTAGGAACAAGGGACAAGGCGATGTATGTGTGGGCTGTGTTATTATGTTGTAATGTAGGACCTTCTTCAAACACCCTCAGACTCGAAGCCAAAAACGTCTCCGAGGCTATTTTTCAAATATCGAGGTCATGTTTGATATTTTTACTCTTATTTGAATTACCTGACATCTTCCAGGTTTAGATAGCTTCGTAGGAGGGTAACATGACAGCAACAATGATTATTTCATAAAGGTTTAGCAGAAATGGGTTACCAAAGTCTGGCATGGCTCCACTTGCACAGGGTCAACCATGAATACAGATTTGCTCTCAGATGAATTCCGTCTTTGTTCATCCTGACAAAAAAAAAAAAGCTCTGAGGAACGCTCAAAGTGGAGGTGTTGCCTGTAGTGACATTTGTTTTATTTTTGGTCTCGGTTAGATTATATAATTGTTGCTCTGTTGCCTCGCTAAAGAGCGCGGGGTCAGTCGTACGTTTGAATAATTGCGAGGCCCGAAACACCGAGTCGCTCGACGTGCTCCGTCCTGATAGCGAATGAGGTTTGTCATGTGTCGCGGAGCATCTGCGTGTCGCGGGCCAACGTGTGAGCGAAGGTGGATGAGCGTTAGTGGTGCACGGAGATGTAAAAGAGCCCAATGTGTGTTTGCCTAACAAGACGGGGGCACACAGACTACCTGCCTCGTGGCCATGTTTAACAGTCGGCCTTTCCTGTTTATGATAGGCTCCTAATCATTCACACTGGGGGAGTGTGTGTGTACAGTAATGCCTTCGGACGGCTCTCATATGAGTGTCTGCATAGATCAAACCCCTCTCCCCCTGATAATAATGAGCCCTCTGGGTAAGAACAGGGTGGAGACAGTGGGAGAGGAGGGTCATAAAGTGGAGCGTATTAATAACTACAACCATCACTTCCACCCTCCCCGTCCAGTGTTTTCACTTATCCAGCAACAATCTCATTTTAAAGAGCTGTTTTGTTTTTTTTTCATGGTGCACTTCTATTTCAGCCATTAACAGCTGCAAAGCCAAAACGACTGCTACAATTAAACATAACAAGCTACACATCGCATCCCCCCTTCAGCTTCCCTGCTCCTCTCTAACTTTTAAAATCACGATGCCCTATTTTTCATCTCGGTATATCTCCGCCGCTCCCTCATCTTTGTCTTTTATCTCTTGTGTGTGTGTTCCCTCCACCCTGGGGATTTATAGCCCAGGGTGCTGTTTGTAATGATCTTCGGGACATCTGACCCATCCTGTGGTGAGGCTTTCATAACAAGCTTCCTTCCTATTATATAATAACATGAATAGCAGCACACACAACAAAAACTATCTTTGCTCGTTATTAAGCTGTTCAGATAAGACATTTTGTATGTACCAATCTGTACGATGTCTTAACATGACAGCGCGAGGAATAGGCTTTCCCTTTCTCAAATTGTAGAATTGTTGCCAGAACTGCAAGGAATGGACAGTATATGAAGTGCCACAGAAGCTTTTTTTCTTTAAGGTACATAACATATAGAATAACAACATTATTACTATTGTTGCCATTTCCATCAGACTGAGAAATGTCACGAGTGCTTTTCAGCTGCGTAGGACCTGCAGGCTAAAGAAAGCAGCATGTGCAAAGAGGTTACACAAGCTGTGTCTATCATTAATAACAAACCTGGGTGTGCAGTACTTCATATTCGACAGTTAAACAACTGTGAGTTTCAAATTGTAGTTAAATAGTCTTGTAATTCAACAAGTCCCCAGACATCAAGAAGTACTGCTGGAGTGGTGACACATTTCTCTGCCGTGACCTTCGAATATTATATTACACACAAAAAAACTTTGTGTTCAGGCCCAAGAAATAAAATTTATCACAACAGTATCCAAAGTGCAGCCATTATGAACACTAAAACATCAAATGACCTTACTTAAATCCCATCATTTCCTGGATTTTAAAGGTTCAGTGTGCTTGAAAGTGACTATTTTTTGGTCAGTAAAAAAGTATTCAAGGTAGTGGAGAGTAAGATGCATTTATGTGTGCAGTTAAAATTCATGGTAAGTATCATTTCACAGTTTAGTGAGTAAATATGTTTGAAAAAAAAAATCCTTTCTGGTGGTGAAAGTCCGCCGAGGCTGAACTCAGTATTTCTAAAACGCAGAGCCGATGATACGCAGACTTCTGCATCCACGCCAGTTGTGTGATTGTATATGTATGTCATGTGAATGTGGGCTAATTCAGCGCCTTGCACGTTTCGACATCTGGACAATGAAGCTTGAAGGAATCCATCAATCTTTCATGTTTTCTCAGAGAAAGTGGTTTTCCCTCCTTTTCCCCTCTTCACCGCAGGACTTCACTCCTCCTAGTGGCGGGGCGACGGAACACCTCGTCTCGTTTGAAGAACCGCACTTGTGCTCGTCTATCATCATGAGTTTTTATGTGCCCATCAACACAGTGTAGATAGGGAATCGGCCATTAATGACTACACAATTAGAGAGGAGGCTTTAAAGAGCAATACATTTCAATTTAGGAACCATAAACCTAGTGAGTTGGTAACTAACTGTAACTGCCTCTGGAGGAATGGGAGCCCTTTGGACTGAGGTCAAGATGACTCAAGATCAGCTTTTACATGACTGCTTGAGTCAGCCACTCATTCTGACAGGCTGCTGCATATCTTACATGAAATACGCTGAGAGAAACTTTCTAAATCTTAATTAAAAGACAGGCAAAGTGGCCCACAGTTGAGTTGTTTTGGAGTTCATGATAGCGAGGGTGGAGACAATGCTATCCCAGAGAGACTTGATATCTTTGGACAAAACGGCTTTTTCGCTCCATTTGTCAACATTTGTCTCCCTCTTCCTCTGGTTCTGTCTCCCTGTGTCCCAGCATCTGGATACCTTTGGGATGGAGGGGAGGAGTGGGGAGATGAGGCCTTTCCTGTCTCTCTGTTCCCCGGGGAGCTTGAGTTGGTTTGTGATCTTGTATCTCACATGATAGAGACACGTCTAATCCTGTTAGGCATGAATATCTTCCTGTGGACTGGAGGAGACAGCGGGAGGGAGAGAAGAGGAGAAGATGAAAGACGCAATGTTTGAGGAGACAAGGGGAATATTTAAGATACTCTAAATGCTCTGTCTGCCTTTATTTGCTGGCCCACATATTGGTTTCGGGCTAGAGCATACATACATGAGTGTGTTTGTGTTTCTGTGCCTGTGTACCCTCATGGGATCTTTCCGGCTGCTGCCTGCATATCTGACAGACTCCTCTCAAGGTGTTTTCCCCTCGCTGTCTTTCTGTATCTGCTCCATCTCTGCTCCCTGAGTGAGAAAGTTTACCCTCTAGGCCCCATCTGAGCTCCAGGCCCCCAAGGCCTCTGCATTCCCCAAGCTCCTACACACCGGAGCCCCTCAGGCTCCCTGCTATACCACAGGGAAAACCCCCAAGAACCCCTAGGCCCCTCAGACTGTGAAGCAGCAGCTCTGCGCAAGAGAGCTAGCCCGAGGGGAGGGGGGAATGCTGTCTG